ATGCCCCTAGTAGAAATAGTTTTTCTTCTGGAATTAAAAGTATGCTGCCTTCCAGCCAAATGCCATTTTCTGTATTATTTATTTGTGCCATTAAGTAAATTTGCTATTGTGTTTTTTAAGGAAGAGGAGCCGATGCAGCCTTGTGCCATTGACTTGTCAGAGCTGAGCAGATGAAGAACAGAGCATTTCTGCAAAGTTGTTCTCGCTAGCTTCATTTAAAAGAAAGCCTTACCTGCAAGAGAAAGGGATGAAATCTGTAGTGTAACAGGGCAGGTAGCTTACGCTGGGGACTGTCGTCTGCTGCAGTGGGGACCTTGTCCTTAAACAGCTTCTCTGGTTCCTGAGAGGGACATCTCTGATTTCAGGCAGACATGAAAGCAATTAAGAGTAGCTGTTAGATGAAAATCTTTTCGTGCCCTGAGCACATAGGGGTGACCGATACTTTCTGATTTCTCAGAATGGAGCTTGGTGCCGCTCTCTCAGCTGATTGCATTTAAGGAATTACAGATGTCATGGTCGGGTCAGGTTAGCTGAGCTCCAGCTTAACCATAAACCCATCCTTCAGCCCTTTTCTCTGCCCTTTGGGGAGTGTGTAGGAGCTTGGGTGCCACATTTTCACCACCACTGGTCTGGTGGTCGAGGTGGAGAATTATTAAAAGAGAAGGTGTTAGATGAAGTTCTGGAATGATGATGTAAATGCTGGATTTGAAAATACAGTGAGATACATAGGCAGGGGGATAATGTGCTGGTTTTGCCATGGAAAAACAGAATTGCTCTAGATTATAATTAAAAAAGGAAATATGATTAAAACAACCTTATAAGATGAAGCTAAAGTGACAAGATAAAGCAGCAGGGCATCCAAGAGGGGAAGCAGGCGATGGAACTGGTGGCAGGATGGCATGAATTATTGATGGAAATCTCCACCAGAAGGTAAAGTCTTTGCATTTTCTTATCTGGGAAGGGAGAGAATGAATGAGAAGTGAACAGAATTATTAAGGAGCTTTATCATTGCATTGGAGTGGATAATGAGGCAATTAAGATTACTAAAAGTTGGCAAAACATGAAACCCAGAGAACTTGTACGCCCGATTTCAGAGAGGGGCTGGTGAGGGAAGCAGGGAAAAGCCTTTGGCGAGAGATTTGATGGAGTGTTATGGGGAGGCTTAAAGGCAGAGCCCGGTGGCTCTGGCACACTCTGCAGCTTCCAGAACAAATGGGGGTTCAGGACACCTGACCAGAAGATAATTTATTTGAAGGTCGACAGTCCTCTGAACAGCACCAAGAGGTGAGATGATGAGTGAAGGTCCCTGCTAAGGGTTCAGGGAAGGAGAGCACAGTTAATAATGGACATGTGGACCCATTTTTTTCCATGGTGGGAATGCACAGTAGCCATGGCAGCCACTGTGTAGGAAATATTTTGTGTGCTTTTTCCAGATCTTTGTCCTCAGCTAACATCCCCTCTCCTTTCAGGTGAGTTGTTTGTAGCAAAACTTTGCAGGGCCGTAAGCTGAGGGTGCTGTGAGATCCCTGAGCAGAGCACCAAGGGGTCAGACTCTTCCCTAGGAGGAAAGTGTCAGACTGTGGTTTAGACTTGCAGTGAATATGGTCTGTCATCCTACATTAATTTCATTTTCTTTGGTCAGAAGTGACACATACTGAATTTTTCCCTGGTGTAAATCATGCAACAAAACTTTGCAGGGCCGTAAGCTGAGGGTGCTGTGAGATCCCTGAGCAGAGCACCAAGGGGTCAGACTCTTCCCTAGGAGGAAAGTGTCAGACTGTGGTTTAGACTTGCAGTGAATATGGTCTGTCATCCTACATTAATTTCATTTTCTTTGGTCAGAAGTGACACATACTGAATTTTTCCCTGGTGTAAATCATGCAAATGCTTTGTTGCTACATTAATTTAATTTTCTTTGGTCAGAAGTGACACATAGTGAATTTTTCCCTGGTGTAAATCATGCAAATGCTTTGTTGTCAGAGGATCTCTCCAGCAGAACTTGGAGGCAGCTTCCAAACCTCTTCCACTTCAATCCTCTGTTGTAAATTATATCTGATCACCCGCTTTGTAAAGAGGAGCCCCGCAAAAAAACGGATCCTCTGTTGTAAATTATATCTGATCGCCCCCTTTGTAAAGAGGAGCCCCGCAAAAAAACGAATGAGCAGCTTGAGTAAGCTGGCTGAATCTATTCTTGCAGGGCATGCAAAGCTGTAGGACACATTTCTTCACTATGAGGGTGGTGAGGCAGTGGCCCATGCTGCCCGGAGAAGCTGTGGATGCCCCATCCCTGGAGGGGTTCAAGGCCAGGCTGGATGAGGCTTTGGGCAACCTGGGCTGGTGGGAGGTGTCCCTGCCCATGGCAGGGGGTGGAACTGGATGATCTTTAAGGTCTCTTCCAACCCAAACCATTCTGTGATTCTATGAATTCATCCTGGGCTGCTCTGACACCAATGCCAGACAACTGTGCTCTGCCTCCGTGCTCCTGACCTGCTTAATCTTGAGCTATGTGTTATTTAAAATTAATTTGCAGAGATGCAGACATTATATAAATCACTGAGGACATGTGAGATTATACAGGTAATTTTCAGAAGTGCTCCACACTTCTCCAACTCAGTTCCCCGTGAAACCAAGGGATTAAAATTAAGCTGAAGCAGAGTTTGGACTAGTCACCATCCTTCCAATGCCATGGAAGATGAGTCAGCACTGCAGACACTTGTTAGTAATTTCACACCCAGAGTCTGTTGTCATTTGTTCAGGACATTCAGTAGTCAGGGAAAGAAAAGAAGATGCTGAAAAATACATGCATTAGAGTATTTGTTACTAATTATTTGCTTGGCCTCACTGGCAAGTCACCTAGTGTTCTCGCCAGAGCATTGCATTTTTTATGAGAAGGTGCCATCCAAAATGTTCCTCTTCCAAGACCAAGTTCAGAATATTAATCATGGATAAAGATGCATAATTAGAGTCTGAAGTCCAGAATTAATTGATGGTAGCCATTTAGCATAGATAACAATTCTAACTTGAAAAAGTGCTTTGTCTCCTACCCACACCCCGTAATGTCCCCATATGGGTGAATAATTGGAGCAGTAAGCGCTCGGTTTTAATGACACAGTGGCTCCCGCTGCCTTCACCTACTGAATTTGGGACCATTATTTTCCTCTAGCAGAGGTCAGAGGCTTTCACCCAGCCAGCCAGCTTGTGGCTACATTAAAGCATCTCTCAGAGAGGTGTCCAGTCAGGGGAGAAATCACGTTGTGTTGGTTTTTTTGTGGTTTTGGCTGATTCACGAAGGTGTCTGACATGTGCTCTCCATGGCTGACAACAAGGTCAGGTTTAATAACACGCAATTGTATAAATAGCAAATAAAGATTTGTAGTGTAGTGTTTGGAGTCCCAACGGACGCGCTGCTGTTGTATTTCAGAGCAGAGGGGAACAAAGCCAGGATTTTTCATCATCAAAAGTAGGTAGTAGAATATTATTAGATCAGCCTCTGCCTGTGACTTGTCAGAAATACTCCAGAGTTCATTGCTGCTGTAGAGGCACCGCTGTTCAGCTGCAAGAAAGTGGGTTGACTATTGATGAGATCACTGATCCCATATAATGTGAAGGAAATAGAAAAATATGCTTTGTGCTTAGCTTGAGTTGAGGCCAGCCGAGCATCACAGTGCTGTCTGTACATGTGGTGCTGTCGGGATGTGCACAGAGGACATCAGTCCAAAGCTTCAAAATGTGCACTGTCAGTCATGCCTGGAATAAAACGCGATACCATCGTTAAACATGAGAGTCATGAGAAGGCTCTTTGGCAAGAATTTGGGGATGAATTCATATGGTTTGCAATATTTGTGTTTTTAAACAGAATTTTCCAAGTGTTTGGTTTCTCCCATGCCCGACAGCAAGGCAGCGGCGTAGGGGCTCTCCTTGAAAGTCTAAGTGACATTTACACCTAGTGTTTGTTTTAGTGTTACATCTAGAAACCCAGCTGAGAAACCTAGCCCAGGGGAACCATGCATGTCCTTCATCTCTGGTTTTCCCCTGGGAGTGGAATTCATGGCATGCAGGCTTGGACTGGCAGAGGATGATGGTGATGGCACCTTCAGAAATTGAGTTTACTATGGCTTAGTCCATGCAGGTCAAGACTAATGATGGGAAGAGTTGATAATAGTAGAGCTGTTTTCTTGCCTCTTATCTATGAGCAGGAATTCATTAAAGCATTATCGGATCTCTCCAATGCTGAGCGATTTGTCTTCGGCGCAGCGCAGACGAATCCAGCCACCTGTGGAGTTAATGAGTCGTGCACCCGCTGCTCCGCGCTTGCAGCTCTTTGAGATTAGCCGAGTATTTCATCCCAAAGTACATGCCATTAAAGACTTTTAATTCTTGAGTATCATATTGCATGGGACTTATATTAACTGTAAGGAAATGAAAATCTCTTTGCTGGCAGTATGAATGTCCTTGGTTTGGTAATTTAGCACCTCCAGTGCTATCCCAGTCCTCACGTGCTCTCTCCCAGAGCAGGCAATGGCTGCTTCCAGAAAATCAAAGGAATGAAAGGCAAGGAGTAATACTTTTTTAGGCATCATTACAGGCTATGCCAAATAGAGAGGGAAAAAAACCCAAAAAAAATCTATGTGGAGGAGGCCAGTGGAAGGGGATAGTCATGCTGTAAGGTTTTCTCCTTCTCAGACATCCCAGTGTGTGTATGAGAAGTGCTGGTTAAAGCCCCACAACCTGAAATATTGTTTTTTATCTTCTTTTTGTAATCACTCTGAAGATGTGAATTGCACAGGGAAAAGCAAGCTTCTTGCCTGCCATCTCTCCTGAAGAGATTCTTATGTTGATTTGCTGCATTTGTTCTTTTTCATGAATGAGAAGAGAGGAAATTAAAGAAAAGTGTTATCAGCTTGTCAAGTTAATTAGTGTCTATTTTAATACTATCTTATTCATTACTAATTAATACAACATAAGTAACATGATTACAGCTTTTTTGTCTTATTTTTCAGTGAGAAGCTGGATGGAGAAGCTGAAAGATAAGGTAGGAGGCTCAGTGTTTCATTTACTTTAAAAGCAAAACCATTTTTACTTGCAGGAGTCAACTCTTGTCAGTGCAGTTCTTTATCTCCACAAAGACAATTGAGAAAGGGCTTAAATTTTTCTCTGGGAGGCAAATGAACCAGATGCTGCTGTTGTACAGAGTGGTGTAAATCCACAGTACATCCCTGACGAGTAGTAACTGAGAGCAGAAGGAGGGACGGGGGTATTTGATAGACTTCTCTGCACTAGAATATCACCTTATTTTCAGACTGCATGAGTTAATTTTTTCTATTGCCCTCTAACTTACCTCCACCCCTTTGCTCTAAGTCCTAAGCGTGGTTCTAGATCCAAGTGAAGAGGATCTGGTGATCCTCTCTGGTGAAAGGCTGCGTGCCCTGCCGCTGCCTCTGAACGAGACCTTTCCTGCCTCCACATGCAAGAAGAGCTGCAAATTTCTGTAAGGAAACCCAGGGAGACTGAACAGATAACAGACCCTGATCTTTCCTCCCTGGCACTACGGGGTGGTGGTACATGGCATCAAGAGCTGTGCCAGCCACAGGCAGTGATGCCTTTTTTTAGGCTCTACTGCCCTAGGGCAAATATGAACATTTTGAAATGGTTGTGAAACCTTCCAAATATTGTGTTGATGATGGCAAAGCCATGAAGCTAGAAATGAGGCACCTGTAGTGTTTTAAGACAAGAACATTTTGTGACTCAACAGGGCTTGGAAATTCTTGAACAGGATCCGGGTTTGTATAGAAAAACACCACCACAAGGAATAATGACTCGATAGGAAACTCCAGCCCCTGAAAATACATCTCTAAGCTTGAGCAAGTTGTCACTGAATGAGCCCAGCCTTCCCATTTGGTCCCCACCAAATTTCAGCAGCACCTTACCATCAAGTCATCTCATCGAGAGGGTAGATTTAGACTGGATATTAGGAGGAAGTTTTTTCCTGTGCAGGTGGTGAGGCAGTGGCCCAGGTTGCCCAGAGAAGCTGTGGATGCCCCATCCCTGGAGGGGTTCAAGGCCAGGCTGGATGAGGCTTTGAGCAGCCTGGGCTGGTGGGAGGTGTCCCTGCCCATGTCGGGGGGATTGGGACTCGATGATCTTTAAGGTCTCTTCCAACCCAAACTATTCTGTGATTCTGTGAAGTCTGAAGAGAGAGATGAGTCCTGGGTATCTGTTTTCCAGAACTGGGGAGTGGAAGGGTTAAGATGGGTTCCTGCCCAGCCCTTGTTGAGTTGTTTTTCTGCCTGTAATAGGAAGGAAGCATGTCTAGTGTGATCTATGGTCATAGCACAGCCCCTTGGCCTGGGCTTCAGCCAGAGCGAATGCTGGAAGGACAGAGGATGGTTTTCCTGACAAAGGTAAAAAGCAGACACCAAGGCTGGTGGAATGCCTGGAGGGAATGGAGCATGCAGGGGTCACTACACCAGCCGACACAACACAAGCTCGGGGACATCAGGGGTCTTCCCACTGAAGCCATAGCTTTCACTTCTTTCCTCTTGGCACCTTGTTGGCTACCTCTGTCCTTCCCCATTGGTAGAGGCGGGGTGCATGGTCCCACCTCCAGCTGAGTTGCTCTGTAGGTTCTGAACCTCTTGCAGGCAGATGTTGGATGGCATGGCAGTGTCCAGCACAAGCAGTGGTGTAACTGGGGATCTGCCAGTGTCCACTTAAAAAAGAGACTCAGCCCTGAGCCATCTCCCTCCTTTGGGGAACGGCAGATGTGTGGAGGCAGATCTTTCACCTTGCTCACATTTTCCCTTAGAAAAGCTCAACAAAAACCACTTCCCCACCCCCTCAACCAAATGCTGGTGAAGCAAATCACTCCCAGATAAACCTGCTCACCCTGTTTCCTCCTCTTCTTTGTTGAGTTTATCAGCACCACTCATCATATGTGCCCCTCTCATTTGCTGTTGGCAGAGCCCCGTCCTCTCTATTTTACAATTCTGCCATCCAAAGGAGTCTCCTGGCACGCGAGGGCCCCATCCTTGAGAGATGTGTCCTCCTTTGTCCCTCAGGGCTGCCCTGCTGCGAGCGGGAAGGGTGTGGGGAGCATGGGACCAGGAGCAGGGGTCAGCGACAGGTTTATGTCTGGTCTCCTGCAAACATTGTACAAATGTTGCGTTTGGAATGATGAATAATGGACACGAAGTTCCTCTGAACTCCTCTGTTGCTGTTATCTCAGAGTCCAGTGGAGCCAGGAAGCTCATGGTCAGGGATAGGGAGTATTGAAAGCATCCGTAGAACCGTTGGTCCAGCTGTTGAGGGAAGCCTGTAAAAGGGCCTGGGCTGACCAGGTGTGATAAAGGCTCATGGATGAGTTCACCCTGTTAAAACCAGTGGTTTCTGATATGGAAACTCAGCTGGGCAGCAACTAAAAAGCCAGTTCCAGTCTTCTCTCGCCGCCTGCGCCAGCAGCAAAGTTCCAGAAATAGAAAAACCCACGCTGCACTAATTAGGTCACCCAATTAAGGCACCTTAATTGCCTCGCAGAGATACAGTCTCTCAGATGTGTTCTCACTAACCTCCTTTTTCGGGAAGTGGGGTGCAGGCATGCAGCCCCCCCAGGTGAGTGGGGCTGGGATTTCTGGGTTTTATGGGAGGGCACTGGGGGAACCTGCCCCATGCAGCTGGAGATGGTCCCTCAAGCCTTGGGATCCAGGCACAAAGTTGTTACTATTTAAATCACCGAGCAGGATCTGGAGGGGTTTGGGAAGGCAAACCAGCCCTAGTTAGCATTGTATCTGCCCTAGATGAAAGCAGTTATTTTCATCCTGCAGGTAGGCGTGCGAAGCCGGGGCAGCGCACACTGAATAGCTTTTTTTTCCCCCCAACTCAGTGGATTATGGCAGAAAAGCAATTACAGTGTGTTGTTGTGTTGCAGTTTGGGGATGTAGATGAAGATGAGTGGTTGTAAGCAATGGACTGAGGCTTGCTGAGAGCTGTCTGATAGTCCTCTGAATTGTGCATGTGTCCCCTGGCAGGTGTAAAATCTATTTTAGGGAGGGTAGATGGCGAAGGGTAGAGCTGTAGTAGAGGAATCTGTTGCTACAGTGTGAAAGAAGGCAGCACTAACGAGGGAGGGAGCCAGCCTGTACCTGCCTCCCTTCCTCCATTGAGACCCCAGCCTGAATTAGGTGAGGATGCTGAAGCAATTTGGCACTATAAAACTTGGGTTAATTTTCATTTCAAACAGTAAAATACAAAATAGCAAGCACTTGGGAATAGTTTCCAAGGGATTTTAAATGTTTGCATTCATAATTTTAACTTTTCAAATGTGAAATTTTAAATTACTCATGCTATTTTATTTTTTAATTGGGCAACACAAACATATGGATCATAGCTATTGAATTGGAGCTGATTTATGTTTGCTGTGCTTCCCTTAAGGCCAGCCAAAGGTGTACATGCCCTCCCTCTACGTCATTGTCCCGCTCATGCAGTGACCCCTTCCCTTACAAAGCAAAAGCGTTTGGTTCAAAGATTTTGAGTGCAAAGTCAAAGGAGGCTTAGGCTGGGCTGGGTGTGGAGAGGGCAAACTGCTGCTTCTTCCTGCAGAAGTGTGCACAGCCTGGCTTTGCATTTCGGCAGAGCTTCTCCTCCAGGATGGGGGAGACCCAGCAGTGCCTGCAGCTGGTCCTGAAGGGCGGGTGATGGAAGGTGGGAGGTGCTTGTCCTGGTTTGGGCTGGGACAGGGTGAACTCTCTTCCCAGCAGCTGGTGTGAGGCTATATTTTGGGTTTGTGCTGAGAAGCTGATCACACACTGATGGGTGGAGCTGCTGCCAGGACAGTCAAGGACTTTCCAGCTTCTCTGCTGTGCCCGTGTCTGCAGGGGCAGGAGAAGCTGGGAGGGAGCACAGCCCCATCCCTAGCCCAGGATTCCACCTCAGGTTGAGGACTGAGACCCAAACTGGCCAATGGGCTATTCCATCCCATGCCCGGCATGCCCCGTGTGTAGATGAGGCTCTGGCCGGAAGGGCTCTCTCTTGCTCCGGGTCATCTCCCTCCAGGTTGCCCCTCTCTCAGGGTCGTCTCGGTCTGTTGGACACTGGGGCTCGTATCTCCATTCCGGGATTGCGGTTTTGGGTGTCTCCCTCATCTGGGATCATTAGCCAGGAACGGGCTAAACCTTTTTCATTGTGTGGTGAGCAGTATCACTGTGTATCACTCATTTGTATATTTGTATATGTTACTATTATGTCCAATATTATTGTAGTGTCTCAGTTGTCACAAGGCAGTGTCTGTTAGCAAAAGCTGGTGGTGAATGAGCCATGGTGGTTACCAGCTTGGTCCCAGACTTGCTTAAGCAATGCTGGAAGCAAGGCTTATCCTATGCAGGTGGGTGATGGAGACTCAAATACAATAAACTTTGACAAAAGCAGCATAGGGATATATCACAGTCCTGTACTGGTGGAAAACAACTCAGAAAGAATGGTTTTGTGAGTGCTGCTCTGCTTGTCTCTTCTCCCCATAGGCAGGATACATGTCGGGGATGCTGGTTCCTGTTGGAGTCGGAATAGCCGGAGCCCTCTTTATCCTAGGAGCACTCTACAGCATTAAGATTATGAATCGCCGAAGGAGAAATGGCTCAAAGAGACATAAAAGAAAGGTACGGAGACTGCAAAGGAAAACCTCCATCCCACCCACTCTCCCATTAACCATTTTAGCTGTAAAGCAAGCGCAGCCTGGTCGTGGTTACGGTTTGTCCAGGTTGAAGTGCCTGGGACCTCTCAGTTAGAGTATGGGGGGGGGATCTGGATGCGCTTCATTTCCTTTTTGCATGTGGAGTCCTTCAATGTTTCTTTTCTTCCCCTAGCAGAGAGAATTTAACAGCATGCAAGACCGAGTCATGCTCTTAGCCGACAGCTCCGAAGATGAATTTTGAACCGAACTGCAGTGCCCTTGTGATAGCCCGTGACTTTGAAAAAGAAGGGAGAGGGGAGAAAAAGAACAAGCGACTTTCTGCTGCATCGCTGCTCTCCGCCGCCCTGAGCCACTGAGCAGTGGTGGGTACCACTGCGGCGAAACGGCATGCTATGCTCTAGGTGTACCACGCAGTGATGTTTGTTTTGATACCGTAGTGAGATTTCACATTCGCACCCGGCGCCTCATTCGGATCCACAGCACGTCTCGTTACAGCTGGAGCTGATACATATGGATGATTATTTTCCTATTTTCCTGGTGTACTGTTTTGGTCCTGGCTGGCAGTAATCTAATCATAACAATAGCTCTCACTTCACCCGGGAATGGAAATCTTTACTGTGAATGACTTCTGTCCAATTTGTTAAATTTAAATGTGACATTACCTGAGCTAGAGTTCATTAGTGCTAAGATTAGCTGCTCTGCTTAATTAATGAGTTATACACTTGAACTGTATCCCTTGCCACCTGAGGAGTGCCCATGTACAGTGTTGTTGGTACAGTTTGAAGCACATTTCGGCGCTCGGTTCCCTGACTCTCACCCCTTCATCTCTGCTCCATGCTTCTTCGAGACACAAAGGAATGGCTTCAACACTCGATTCACGACACACATCCCAGTCCATTTCCAACCAGCACTGTCTCTTACAGCACAATAAATACCAGCGCTCACCTACTGACGGGTAGTCCTGCATGGATCTCTTAGCTTTTGTTCAGCATGCAAGTAGGTCAGAGAAGAGGCAGGTTGGGAGTTTCTTCAGCTTCTGCCTCCTGTTTGAAGGACGCTAGTTACCAGTTCTTCTGTTTCACAAGGCTGCGTTCTCATAGAGATGAAAGTGGAGCATCTGTCTCCTTTACCCACTGGAAATTGCATTTCCAAGTCCCTGCTCACTGCAGAGGGGTTGGACTAGATGACCTCCATGGTCCTTTCCAACTCAAACTGTTCTATGATTCTATGAAAGATCTGTGAATGGCAGCACCTTTGGGGGATCAGGATGGGTCTTGTTTCCAGACCACCAAATGCAGAAACCTAACCCATAACCCATAACCCTGACCAAAGGCTGCAGAGTGGGTGGCTGTCGGTGTTTGAGGGATTCATGGCTCATGGTCAGAAAGCAGCGGCAGCCGCAGCTGGAGAGATGTCTACTGTGGGGAGGTGAAATGGTTGCATTGGGAACCCTTGGCCATGGGGGAGAAGGTGAAGCTGTAGGACAGATGGCTGCAGAGGGTGGTGGGGGGTGAAGCCCGAGGGCTGCAGAGGGAGACAGCCCATGGCTGAGATGTTACGGGAGCCGAGCAGGGGAAACTCATGTTGCTTTGCACAGGAATGCTGTTAAAATATCTAGAAAAAGGGCTGCGTGACTTATCTCTGCTTCCCATTGTGAAATTACCTCCATCTGACATTTATGCAAAACATCCATGTTTCTGAGGTGGGAATTGCTGTTCGGTGGGGAATCATCCCTCATACAAGGAACAGCGACTGTTGCCAGAGGAGACCTGATTAGACAAATAAGGCCAGACTGCACATCTACTGAGATTAAATCCCACTGAGTCCTCAAAGATGGGGAAGGAGGAGAGTTTGAGGAGGAGCACATGCAGGATTTCATTCCCTGTAAAGGTGATTTTCAGATTGTGATGGGTAGATGGAGGTGATGGTAAACAAATGTCTCGTGGGTGTGTGAGTGGGTTTGCAAGGTAGACAGGATATTTGGAAGACCCTCCTGAAGCTATCTCTTGAGAAGGTCAGTTCTTCCTCTGGACATGAAGTCCTCAGACACGATGTTCAACTCTGAACAAGCCATGTTCTTCAGAGCCCAGGTACTTTCCTGTAGGCCTTACTGAGACAGCTACTGAGACACCTGGAGAAGGACGGGCAGAACAACCTGGTTTCAAAATGCTGTTACTAATGCTAGTCTTCCAGTCGAAGAGTCGTGTGTGGTCCCTGACACATTCGTCCTGCTGAGTGCATGGGAAGCAGGTTGAGGGAGATGGAGTAAAACCTGGTCCATCAGCATGTTGGGAGTCTCCACACCCTGATCCCTCTGAGACAGGCTTTCCCAGCCAGGGCATCACAACACGTGCATCTCTTCCTTTTCATTCCTGAAACTTTGACCAGGAGAATTTTGCCTTGCTAAAAGCAGCCCCATGTCTTTAACAGGCACCACCTGGCAGCCCACTGTTAAATCCAGGTACCACTACCCAAAATTAAAGCCTCTTCAGTAACAAGTGGTCAAGCTAAGAAGAACTTTTCCTTCCGGACTTATCTCTCCCAATTTCCTTCTTGTTCCTGAGTCTCTTGGAGCTTGGAGGTGGTCAGGAGGTGTTAACAGTCCAGTTGAGCATTGGTGGCTGTCTTGCAGTTTTGGGAATCAGGAAATATTGTCCCTTGGGCTCTTTGATGATTTGTTCCCAGCAAGGCTTGATAAGGGTTGCAAGGTGGAATGACTTCTCCTCCGTTCCGGTTTGCTTGACATCATCTTCAGAAAGGCTTGTCTTTTAGGTTCAGTGCCAGGCAGGCTGGAAACAAGACTTCACAGGAACCTGCAAGATGTTCTTGAAATGCTTTACCCCTGGTCCAGCCAGGGACGCGTGGAGAATACACAGTGACAAAAAGCATTGCCCTCTGGAAGAAGGATTTTCTCTTAGAGCAGAAAGGACAGTACCTGGGCTGGCTGAGTCCTTTGCATGCAACCACAGCCTGAAAGAGAGACCCGAAATAACTCTGGGAAAGAGGAGCTGCCAGTGATCCTGCAGAACAGAGCAGATGTACCAGCAAGACCCAGACAGCTGGGGATCAGCAGGGTTTGTGCAATAACCACCTGTGAAGGACAGTCTCCTCTTGCTTTCCTTTCACGGTACCATGCCTGCGCAGTGTGTGATAACGGCACAAGTTGTGTAACATAAAACGCAGAGCTCCTGGGCTGGTCAGGAGGAGGAGCAGGGATGCTGAGCCGGGCTGCTGGGCTGGCAGTGCAGGAAGGGCTTTGTGGATGGGTTGTTGATTTGATGGGTTGGGATGGCTGGTAAGGAGGTGCAGTGGTCTTTCCTTGTGCTAATAAATCCACAGTTTGGGAAATGCTGACTTTCTACAGTGGCAATCAGCTTCACTGTCTCTCTTCTGCCTCCCCAGCATGATGAACTTAAGAAATTAATGGCAACACTGCCAGTCAGGATGACGAAGGTGATGTTTTAGTGCGTCAGCTGGGTGCCCTGGTGTCCTCAAGAGCCCAGCTTCACTCGGTGAGGACATGGAGTGCGTGGCTGGGATGCTGGAAATCGTCAGTGTCACAAGTGGGGCTGACAAATGGTTGCAAATATTGGAGTGGCAAGTAGGGTGGGACAAACTGGGAAAGCAGGAGAGTTGTAGCCAAAAGGGAGGTCCAGCTGAACGTACAGTTCAGTGTTGGTGCTGTGGTCTGTGCTGGAGCCAGCCTCGTGGAATAGAAGAGCTGCCCAAAGATTTTGCGTGTGGTCCAGCTTCATTCCTAGGCCTGTCTCTGGCTCTGAACACCACCAGCCGAGGTGTCTTCTGCTGGTTGGCAGAAGACCAACCTTCTGTTGGCCAACTTTCTGAGCCTCTCAGCAGTGCAGAGATCTCAGCTGGTGTCCATTGGAAGTGGAGGTGTTTGTTGCATAGTTGATTTTGGTTAGGCACCTGCCCCAGACCCTGGATGCTCCCCATGTCTTCAGCTTAGTTCTTCTCAGTGTGGAGGCGAGAGGGACGGTCAAAACCAGTCGTGGGTCCCAGGGAAGGTTGTAGGAGCCGTTGGAGCACAGACAGGGTTTTCTGCAGTGCCCCGACGTCAGTACAATTTCTGCAGGTCCTTAAAGCACAAACATCATTCAGCTCATTCCCTTCTCATCCAAGGCCAGTAGGCTTTGGATTGGGCTCTTAAAAATATTCTCTGTACAACTTCTGGAGTTTGATTCATTTGCTTGAAACGATCAGATTGCAGGCAGGGAGAGGAGGAGGGCTGCAGGTGGGAGCTGAAGCCTCCAGTCTCTTAACGCTCTGCTGATTTAATCTATACCTCTGCATTGCCAAGCAAGCAGATTCTTTTGATAGAGACAGGACAAGAAAAACAGCCCAGAAGGGCCCTCCTCCTCCTCATCCTCCATGCTGGGTGAATGTAGAGATGGGTCGTGACATTGCTAACGCAGCCTTGGCCCCGTGCAAAGGCACAGCTGCGACGGCGGCTTTGTTGCAGCAATAATCATCTCTCGATGCGACACGAGATGAATTACTCGCCTCTGTTTTGGGTTTTCCTGATAGCACAAGCCAGAATTTATTGTAGGCATCACACAATCGCTTCAGCATCTATAGCCCCATTGCCAACGGGAGGAACCAGCCAGCCTGACATGCAGCTCTTGCCCTGATGACATGCACCTGCACGATACAGCTGCTGATTTTTAAAGGTGTCTCTCATGCCAGATGTTCACCCAGGTGAGATTTTTCCGGACTGCACTGCTTCCATAGATTGATATTGGCAGTCCTCATGCTTTCTTGTGGTTTTCTATTTCGGACAGGAACAACTCCTCATACTGTAACTATGGAATGTAGCACTTTGTTAAATTAAAACATTGGGAAATAAAAAGCTGTCCATCATACCTGACTTTAAGCTCCTCTTCTCCCTGATATGCAGTTCATGGCATTTACTGTCTCTCAGGTAAAGCTGTGACAGCATGGAAGACTCACGTGTTGCATTTCTTTCTCCACACTGTGTGGCTGGTGCAAGGGTTCGGGCTGGGCTTGTCACGGACGATACAAGCAGCAGGGAGCCTCAGCCTGGGACTTTGTGGGTAGGATTTACCTGCCAGTAGGTGTCAGCCATCAGCTGTGTTGAGTAACACCCCAGATTCCCTTGGCTGGGTTGCCAGTAGCTGTAGCAAGCCCCAACACTGACATGTTTCAAGGTCAGATTGGATGGGGCTCTGGGCAACCTGATCTAGTGGAAGGTGTCCCTGGCCA